TAGCCTTACAGAAAGCCAAGCTCATGTCCTGCATTATGTTAATTCACACTTTGCCTTGAAACAATAGGGGCTAGTTTGACTTAACTGCCATTAAACCTAGTCTGTAAATGGTTATACAGTGTCTGTTTTGGTTACCCTGGCCTAATCCCACATTTTACAACTGGGGAACTGAGTACCTGCAAGATCAAACTGGTTCTCTATTTTTAGCTTGAGTGGGCAGGAAATTAGGTTCTCTCATTGCTTGGAGTCTCAGAACACCAGAGACTCTCTATGCCTGAAGAAGGGTGACTGGGCCTGAAAGCTTGCCAAGAACTTTTTTCCAACTACTCAGTTGGTCTAATAAAAGACATCACACCTACTCAAAGAACCTTGCCTGCCAAGAGATTGCAGAAAGCTTAGTCCTGAGGTGGCAGCTTCCATGTTAACATCACAGCACACCCTTTTTTAATCACACGGGTCCTGTTGTTCATGTGCTAATGAGTAAAGCAGTGATTCTCAACCAAGTTGCCACAGCACCTTAGGTTACCTTAAGAGCTTTCCAAAGGTGCGGTGGGGTTCCACACAATGTTAACGCTGTTAGATGTGCAAACGTGATTCACAAGATAAACCCAGAGTTGCAAACAGCAGTCCATAATTGTGGTTTTTCTGAGTCCTTTGGAATAGAAAAACTGCTCTATTTTTTTTGTAGGCAAGGGAAGAGTGAAGACGAAAAGACTTGGCATTTTCCAAAGGTTGCTCCAAGTCTAAAAAGGTTGAGAACCACTGGAATAAGCCAACGTACAATCCCATGTAGCAAAAGATCTCCCAAGTGCTTTACACCTGCAGAGTGGTAATATGCCTGGCCAGTCATTTCAACATGTGTAAATTTAACTTTCCTAGGACTAATCTGTTTGTTTCTCCTTGCTTCCCTGAGCAAACAGGAGCTCTGGAGCCAGTACATTTAGCACTTGTCTACTTGAAATCAGTGTGCTTGCCTTATTTACTTGAAATCAATGGAACTGTGTGACTATGGCCAGCAGGATTTGGACTT